GGGCCCACAGGGCACAATGAGGTGGGGGAGGGGCGCAGGATTTGCAGGTGCCGAGAACTAAAGATTGAAAACACGAGGATGAAGCGAAGGAGGAATGATGGAGGATTTCGGAGTAGCCAGAGGGAGGAGTTCGGGAATTAGGGCGCGCAGGACAAGGAGGACCACGTAGGAGGCGACGGAGCAGGAGGATACAGAACGGGTCGAGGAGTATGGGTTCTGGGCAGACGAGGGGAACTTCAGGAAGGGGAAACACCATGAAGGCGCAGGGGGATGGAGGATGAAAGAAGCATGTATGAGGCAGCAGGGAGATCGTGGGACGGAGGACGTGCGAGGAAGAGTTGTTCCACCTGCCTCCCTCCGCGTTCTTGCCCCTCCCATAACCGAGACCGCTCGCGGAGGCACGTGCTGTTCCTGAACCGGCCGCATCCTGAGCCGCAGGACCCTTCCTGCCGTTGACTGCCCTCGCTTGGCCATCTGCCGTCTCATCAGCACCCTACTATCCTACTTAGGCCCCTCTTCCCTCCCCCCTTCAGCCGTCAGGGAGGAAGAAGAGGAGTTAAATTAGGAGGGATGAGTGGGAGGTGGACAATTCTCTGCCATGCCGTTCCGGGTGCTCCAGACAGCGGGGGCAGAAGCTCTTCCCCCTGGTCTCCTCGCCCTGCTCCTCGTCCTCCGCCGCCGCCACCGCCGTCACCCGCTGTCGTCCGTTGTCGACGTCCGTCGTCGTCCCCGGCCGTCGTCGTCCGCGGCCGTCGTCGTCCGTCCTTGTCGTCTCGGGCCGGGCGAAAGGGGGGGATTGGGAAAGGGGGGGCTACTAAATTTGCTGCATGCAGCTGGTTTCGGCCCCGCCGAGGGGCCCATTCCTCGATACATGGGCGCCTCCCGACGCCGGGAGGCGCCGGGAAAATCAGCTACGTGAGTTGATTCTCAAACCCCCCCTTTGCTATCCCCCCTTTCGCCCGACCCGATTGTCGTCGTCTGCCGCCGCCGACGTCCGTCGCTGTAGCCGTCGGCGTCGCCCGTCGCCGTCCGTCGTCGCCCGTCGCCCCTCGCCATCTGTCGTCGCCCGTCGTCCGTCCGCCGCCGTCGACCTCCGCCGCCATCTGTCGCTGCCGCGCGGGCCGACGGCGGCGCCGCGCGCGGGCCTCCTCCTCCTCCTCCTCCTCCCCCTCCCCCTCCTCCCTCCTCCTCCCTCCTCCTCCTCCTCCTCCTCCTCCTCCTCCTCTCCTCCTCCTCCTCCTCCTCCTCCTCCTCCTCCTCCTCCTCCCCTCCTCCTCCTCCTCCTCCCTCCTCCTCCTCCTCCTCCTCCTCCTCCTCCTCCCTCCTCCTCCTCCCCCCCCTCCTCCTCCTCCTCCTCCTCCTCCTCCTCCTCCTCCTCCTCCTCCTCCTCCGCGCGCGGGCCGCCCGCCGTCGGAGGGCGACGGCTGGCCCTACGCGGAGCACTTCGTGGGGAAGGCGCGGCGGCGGAAAAGAGGGGGGTGATGACTAGGGGGGGGTGGATATCATGGCGGGGGGCATGATATTTCCCCAGATTTCATGGCGCCTCTTCTTATTTCTTTACGTCCCCGGCCCCCCCGCTGGGCCGCGCACATGCCGCCGGTCATGATTTGCACCCCCCCCCCTCTTGGACACCCCCCTCTTGGCCGCTCCCGGAAGGCGCGGCGGTTCGAATTGCGCCTGCAGGGCCGGTTCCTGTCCGACCCGGGCTCCGCGGAGGACGTCGTCGCCCTTTGGCCTTCGAGAGTGCTCAGACGTACATGTTTCGGAGGTCCACGCGGCCTTCCGTTCGGCGCTTGGCACGCGCGTGCGGGTGCAATTCTTGGGAGGTCATGTTCTAATTGTGCCCTGGTCCGAAATCGGAGCTACTCGGGCTTATTCCCGATTGGTCCGGCTTAGTCCCGATGAATCCAGTTTCATCCCGCTCAATACGGCTTAATCCCGCTTCATCCGCGGCCTAATCCTGCGCAGCAGCTCCCCAGTGGGGCTTCATCCTCCTTAGTCCTTCCGACGAAGACCTCCCAGTAGCATCACATTATTTCGATGCTGATCTTGAAGATTCCCTTCGTTTCGGAGGACGCATCCCTAAGATCGTCATCGCCTTGGGGCCTGTCAGTCCTCGGGGTAGGGGTACGTTTGATGCTGGTTACCGGCGGCGCCTCTGGCGCGCTCCGCGCCTATCCAGCGCCGATCTGAGAGGGCCGCACGGACCTCCGACAGCTCATGGTTGTGCAGCTTGTGCTCCCTTGCTCGCCTGCTCGGCCAGAAGCGCGGCGCGTGGCGGCGGGGAAGCGGCAATGCGTTGTGGGTGTGAAGGCCCAGGCCTCAAACATGTTCACGCAGAAGAGCACACTTGTTCCCAACCATCGTGTGGCGTTGGGTCCTCGTTTTGAAGAGAGCGCCCCGCGTTTTCCTCCCTCCTCCTCCCTCCTCCCTCTTCCCATCACCATCATCAACACCACTGCCGTCATCACCGCTCATTTTGGCACACCCTTCACACGTTTCGTGACCCCATATGGAGCTGCACCTCCTTAGGCACCAGTGGCGACGTTCCCATGCGTCCCCGCCACTCATTTCGGCACACCCCTCACACGGTTCGTGGCCCCATGGGGAGCTCCACCGAAGGCCCCAGTGGCGACGGTGCCATGTGTCCCCGCCACCCATTTTCGGCACGCCCCCCACACGGTTCGTGGCCCCATAGGGAGCGCCACCGAAGGCGATATCCATAATTGCGGTACACACATCTGCGAATGGTCGGGTCCGTCGCCAGGTTGATCTTGTTAGCCTTCTGGAGCCCGCACCAGGCCCCAGGACCGTCAACACATGATGTTCAGGACCGTCAAGCCTTGTTCAGGAAACGGGTTTGGATTCTCAGGGACACCGTACAGTCGGGGCGCTGCAGAAGACATTATTCTCGTTGGGGAGTGGCTCGGCGCTCCTCTTTTGTTTTACAGTTTTCCCTGTTCGTTCCTCAATTTGTTCCTTGGGAAATCGAAGGTCAACTTATGGCAAAGGGGGACCTCGCTCCTTGTCTTAGGGTTCCTTTGGTCAACGCCCCGACTGTAGTGAAAGCATCGAGCCGTCAGATCTCGGAGGCGGGCGCACCTCTCCAGCAGCTTTTGGAGCCGGGGCCGGCGGTCTGCGATGCCCTCGTACTCTCAGGTGGAGGGTGTCTCCGAAGGGCTTAGGCGACCCGTCCTCCTCCTCCTCCTGCTCCTCCTCCTGCTCCTCATACTCCTCCTCCTCCTCCTCCCCCTCCTCTCCCTCCTCCTCCGCCTCCTCCTCCAACTCCTCCTCCTCCCCCCCCTCCTCGGGTCGCCTACGGCCCCAGGGGGAACCTTTGACAAGTTCCATTGTGAACTCCCGCCCGATGTGATTCCTCGTGCTCTCAGGACGAGGTGGAAGCGAGGTGGAGGAAGATGGGGAGCACGAGGGCAGGACCAGCGCGAGGAGAAGGGAGGGGTGAAGGGAAGGGATAAGAGGAGATGTGGGAAGTCGTGGGGGATCTGGGAAGGAGCAGGGGCAGGGTTGAGAGAGGGGAGGGGTGCAGCAGGGCGGGGGGGGGGAGGGAGGGAGTGGAGGGGAAATGAAGGGAAGGAATGGAAATAGGGGAGAGGGAGCGGAAGGAATGTCGGACTAACATTGGGGATTCGAGGCGGGGTGAAAGCAGTGAGGAAACTGAGGAGTGGGGCACTGAGGGATGAGGAGAGAAGTGAGGCCATGATTGATCCGCACGAGGAGCAATCTGATTGTCTAGGAGCGACATCGAGAGTGTCGACTCTGACAGCAATTCAGATGTGACGGTTTGGACAGGCAAGGCGCGGGTGCGGTGACAACAGTTAGACCCAGTGAGTTTAGTGTTGGAGGCAACATGCAACATTGTCGCCAACGAAGCCGATTGAAACGTGGTGGTGGTGACGGCCGTGCGGCGACAGGTGGTGCGAGGTTGCTTGTCAAAGCTGCAAAGACTGACCAGGCACAGGCGGACGCAGTGGCGGGAAGAGTTGTCTTGGCTTGCTCGGCCGCACAGGTCTTCGCTTACCGACTTTGTTGACGGCTCTGGCAGCAGTGTCAGGGCTTTCGGTCAGCCTCCCCATTCTAACCGTGCGAGGACATCTTTTTCGGCATTGAACTCACAAAGGCGGCCTGGGAGAGCATTCTGCCACTGAACCCGAATGGATATCATCAGACGAGGGATAGGACTGTCCATGACTTTTTTGTGGTATTCAGCATGGTCGGGGAAGCGTTGAGTCCTTGCGTCAAGGGCCACTGGCAGGCCCACCTTTGTCGGAAGCGCAGCCGCCACCTGAATTGAGGGGATCGTGCAGCTGGATGTGGCAGGAAGGGCGATATTACGGGTGTGAGGACCTGAGGCGGTGTTCGTCGGCGTCCTGGTCAGGGTTGCAATTGAAGGGGTGGGTGTGGTAGCAGCTGGTGCCGATGCAGTAGTGATGGCGTAAATTGGGGCAGTCGCGGCAAGAGTAGCGTTGCCAGCATCAGCAGGAGCAACGCCAGTAGCAGTTTTGGTGGTTTGCAGCAGAGGTGGTGGTAGTAGTGGTCGTAGTGGCCATACAAGGAGCATTCGGCGGAGCCGTCGCAATCTGGTGGTAGACGCAGTCGTATCCACAGCCGTAGGGTATTAGTGATCGCTGCCCGCCCTCACCCCCCCTTCTCTCCTCCATTCTGTAGCCCCTCTCCTTTGCCCGTTCGCCTCCTCTGGACCATCGCGTGCGGTATCGTTGTCCGCCTGGGCTGTCAGGGACACCTGCATCCGGGGAGCCCCGCCATGTCTCTTCGCTGAGCTCGCTCTTTGCTGTGCGCATCGTGAGCCCGATATGTCGGGTGATCTTCCGTTGCGCGTTGTCGTACCAGCCGCGCCATTGTAAGTTACACCAGTGGTGAATATGTTCATTCACCGCGACGCTTTTCTTTTAATCAAGTGTTATACTGCTCAGGATGAGGGCAGGAACCTGACATTCGCCTTACTCTTGTTCTGCTGGGGGTGCTTGCCCGTTCGGTGAACAAAAAACCAAGCTGTAGGTCCAGCGCCAGGCAACCCTTTGCCTTGGCAAGGTTCCCCCAGCTTCACGGCTCCCGTATTGCGGAAGTGGCAGTCGAGACACATACATATAAACGGTCCGTCTGAGCAGTTCACCTGCGCAGCGGTGCTTCATCCGAGCAGCCGATCCGGTATTGAGACGTGGGGGTTTGGAGCAGCGGCATTGGTGGAGATCGACTTTCACCCCGCTTCCCTCGCAAAACGAGACATTGCCACCTGGATCCGTCCTAGGCCCGGTCGTGGGCCTAGACACAGCGTCGTCCTTGGGTGGGGTTTGGAATACTCGACCTCGGTGAGATCACACCTGGGCCAAAGCGGGGAAGAGAAGGAGGAGGGGGAGGAGGAGGAGGAGGAGGAGAAGGAGGAGGAGGAGGAGGAGGAGGAGCAGGAGGAGGCGGAGAGGAGGAGGAGGAGGAGGAGGAGGAGGAGGAAGAGGAGGAGGAGGAGGAGGAGAAGGAGGAGGAGGAGGAGTAGGAGGAGGAGGAGTATGAGGAGCAGGAGGAGGAGGAGAAGGAGGAGGAGGAGGAGGAGGAGGAGGAGTAGGGGGAGGAGGAGGAGGAGGAGAAGGGCGAGAAGGAGTTCAAGGGCAATATCGGCACACCACTAGTGAAGCTGATTTAGGAGTCGATGCGGGCCTGCACATCTGGGCTCCGGCTGGGAGGGAACGCGGCCCCCATCTCAGCCTCAAGTCGGGCCTGTAACTTTGCAGGAGGAATATTCAAACATAGTCAATACAGACTCCAGGGACGCTTTGTCTACAACTGTTCCATCATGTTGGGGCTTGTCCTCAACTGTTTTTTTTTCGCCCAAGCGCCGCCTGCAGGGGGACACGCCCGACCTAATCTTAGCCGAGAGGTCTGCGAAGTGGTTGCCCTGCCTGCGGAAGCGTGATTGGTCGGCTTCGTGAGCTGCGACCTGGCTTACAGCAGTGGCTTCTCCCTAGGGGCCAGAGAAACACTCGAGGACTTGGCTCGCATCGGCCCGCTTTCCATGGACAAGGTCCACGGGGCCGCGGGAGCAAGCCGAAGCAGCATTGGCACAGTCCGAGTGTCACACAGCTTTGTGGTCCAAATTGATCCCAGCCGAGGCCAGGGAGCAGAAGTCTTCAGCCTGCGAGGAATGAGGGGAAGTGGGACCAAACTGGTCCGAAACACCGCCCTAGAAGAGAGCCGCAGGCAGAGATCCTGGCGAGGGCCGAACCAGCCCGAGACAATTCCCTAACAGCCGACTTGAAACACTTGCCATCGAGGGCAACGTGCCTTGAAAAACAACGGCCCCCTGATCCCGAGAAGGCCGATTTGCATTTCTGAAAACCTCCTCGAAAGCCTCCAATACAACGTGGGCCATACTATTCTGCTTGATCGGTCATTCCCAGGATGAGGGAATGTCCCAACGAGGCGCAGTATGAGGTCCTACGAGCCCGACTGGGAGGCTTTTTAAATCTAGCTGAATCAACGAGTCACCCACATATTCACGCCTAGGGACGTTGCACGCCCATGTGCGGTGACAGACATAATCCTTCTTCGTGGTGCACAGAGCGACTGTGTCGTCGAGCTCATCTCCCTTAGCTGAATCATGCGCCTGCGTCCAGAGGGCGTTGCAAGCTAGTGACCTGATGCAGTTCTTCTCGAACGCAGTGGTTCGTGTGGACCTCATGGCCGACACAAAGGCGGGGGACGCCCTCATCAGCCCGATCCGCGGAGGCAGCTAAGCTTGTGGCACTCCAGCTCGCCTCTCGCACAGACTCGACTCCATCGAACAGGTATCCTTGAACTAGCTTGGGTAGTGCAGTCCACTCCGGACTGCTAACGGCAGTGGCGTGCAGCAGAGTCTTGATGAAAGACGGGACCAATAACGTTCAAGACATATCATTGATTTGACGCTGTGTGAACACCATCATGCTCTTCATGTTCCAATCGGTACGACGCAACGACAGATACATGGCCCATTGGCCGACATTGGGCCCGACACCGACTTCTAGGACAGTCTATCTCCCTTGGGAACGTCCGTGAACACCGACTCCCAGGAATTTCGAACGGTGGGCCAGTCCAAGCAACCACGATTGAGTCGAGAACGTAGGAGCACACCTCCCTGCAGCACTCGAGAATAAGCGAGCAGCGCGTACAAACTAGGATCTCGTTCCAGAGGACTGAGTATCCTTTGAAGACCTGCTGCGGGCAACTGATTCGATAACGACTGCAGATTGACGGACGTCCGACGTAGTCATCCCCTCGGCCTCGGACCCATAGATGTAGACGGGGAGCGGACCAAAAACGAACATTTTGAACGCTCTCCTCCCGAAGTGGCCCTTGAGAACCTTGTGTGACGTCGGGCCTTTCTCTTGAGATGAGCCCTCCTGAAAGCGATCCGCACGAGTTTATTTGAACTTTCCGAGTGGTAGAAAGCGATTTTGTAGTGGCATTCGCAGGGCAGTGGCAATAGCAATGTTCGTCGTCGACGTAGTTGTAGTCGCAGTCGTAGACGTAGTAGTAGTAGTAGTAGTAGTAGTAGTAGTAGTAGTAGTAGTCGTAGTAGTAGTCGTAGTAGTAGTAGTCGTAGTAGTAGTCGTAGTAGTAGTCGTAGTAGTAGTAGTAGTAGTAGTAGTAGTAGTAGTGGTAGTGGTAGTGGTAGTGGTAGTGGTAGTGGTAGTAGTAGTAGTAGTAGTAGTAGTAGCAGCAGTAGTAGTAGTAGTAGTAGTACTAGTAGTAGCACTAGTTATATGATTGGTAGTATTAGTAGTAGTAGTAGTAGTAGTAGTAGTAGTAGTAGTAGTCGTAGTAGTAGTAGTAGTAGTAGTAGTAGGAGTAGTAGCAGCAGTAGTAGTAGTAGTAGTATTAGTAGTATCAGTAGTAGTAGTCGTAGTAGTAATAGTAGTAGTAGTAGTAGTAGTAGTAGTAGTAGCAGTAGTAGTAGTAGTAGTCGTACTAGTGGTAGTAGTAGTAGTAGTAGCAGTAGTAGCAGTAGTAATAGGTAGTAGCACGAGTAGTGGTACTAGTACTAATAATAATAGCAGCAGTCGTAGATGGTGGTAGTCGTAGTAGTAGTAGTCGTAGTAGTAGTAGTAGTAGTAGTCGTCGTCGTCGTCGTCGTCGTCGTCGTAGTAGTTGCAGTCGTAGTAGTAGTCGTAGTAGTAGTCGTAGTCATAGTCGTAGTAGTAGTCGTAGTAGCAGTAATCGTCGTAGTAGTATTGGTAGACGTATGAACAGAAGGAGTGGTGGTGGTGGTAGTAGTGGTAGTAGTACTGGCGGTTGTGGTAGAAGTCATAGTGGTAATCGTGTTTTTGATTGTGTTAGCGTGAGCGTGGCTAGTCGTAGCCGTAGACGTCGTAGGAAGTGATGTTGTTTCTGTAGGTGTAGTAGCCGGTAGAAAGTTGAAGGTCGGATATAGTAAATCGCAGGTCGTAGGTAGTAATAGTAATAGTATCAGTAGTCGTAGCAGTAGTCGTAGTAATAGTTGTGGTAGTAGTAGTCGTTGCCGCCGAGTAGTAGTAGTGGTCGTAGTAATAGTTGTAGTCGAAGTGGTACCAGTCGTAGTCGTAGTGGCAGCAGTAGTCGTAGTCGTAGTTGTAGTCGAGGCCGTCGCCGTAGCTTTCGTAATAGTATTAGTATAAGCGCGACTACTAGTAGTAGCAGTGGTCGTAGCAGTTGTAGACTTATGAGTATGTAGTAGTCGTAGTAGTCGTAGGAGTTGTAGTTGTAGTCGTAGTAGTAGTAGCAGTAGTAGCAGTAGTAGTAGTGGCAGTAGAAGTGGTCACAGTAGTAGTCGTAGTGGTAGTCGTGGTCGTAGTCGCAGTCGTAGTAGTGGTAGTAGTAGTCGTTGAGTACTACTACTACTACTACTACTTTACTAGTGGTCGCATTACTAGTAGTAGTTGTAGTAGTAGTAGGAGTAATAGTAGTAGTAGTCGTCGTTGTAGTAGTAGTAGTAGTAGTAGTAGTACTCGTAGTAGTAGTAGTAATCGTAGTAGTAGTAGTAGTAGTAGCAGTAGTAGCAGCAGTAGTAGCAGCAATAGTTGTTGCACGATGCCGAGTTGTATAAGGTGTCGTAGTAGTAGTTATTGTTGGGGTAGTCGTCCTCGTAGGCGTAGTCATTTCTGCAGTAGTAGCACGAGTAAACGCGATGTCAGTCGTAGTAGTAGCGGTAGTAGAAGTAGTCGTCGTAGGTAGTCGGAGTGGAAGTAGTAGTCGTAGTAGTACCAGTAGGTAGTAGAAGTAGTCGTAGCCGTCGTCATAGTAGCAGTAGATGTTGTAGCAATATGCTTGTAGTCATTTGTAGCAGTCGTCGTAGTAGTAGTAGTAGTAGTAGTAGTAGTAGCAGTTGTAGTCGTAGTGGCAGTACTAGTTGTAGTAGTATTTGTATATGTCGTACGATAACGGGATAGACGTAGTAGTAGCAGTAGTAGTAGTAGTTGTTGGTGCATTCGTAGTCGTAGTCGTAGTCGTAGTCACATCACCAGTAGTATGAATAGTAATCGTATGTCTAGTAGTAGTCGTAGTGATAGTAGAAGTAGTTGTTGGTAGTATGAGTGGTAGTCGCAGTCGTAGTAGTATCTGTCGGTAGTCGTAGAAGAAGTAGTAGTAGTAGTCCTAGTAGAAGTTGCCGTTGCAGCTGCAGTTTTAGCCCTAGTCCTGACAGTCGCTGTAGTAGTCGTGGTCTTTGGAGTCGTGGTAGTAGTGGTAGTAGTTGTAGTAGTAGTCGTAATAGTAGTAGTAGTAGTAGTAGTCGTCGTCGTCGTCGTAGTAGTACTAGTACTAGTCTTAGACTAGTACTGGTACTAGTACTAGTATTTCTATAAGCGCTAGTTCTAGCTCCATCGTAGTAGCCGTAGCGTTGGCAGCATTAGTATTGGTAGTCGTCGGAGCCGTGGTAGTAGTAGTCGTAGTGGTAGTAGTAGTAGTAGTAGTAGTCGTAGCAGTAGTAGTAGTAGTCGTAGTCATAGTAGTAGCAGTAGTAGTAGTAGTAGTAGCAGTAGTAGTAGTAGTAGTAGTAGTACGAGTAGTAGTACGAGTAGTAATACGAATAATAGCACAAGTAGTAGTAGTAGTAGTAGTAGTAATAGTAGTAGTAGTAGTAGTAGTAGTAGTAGGAGGAGTAGTAGTAGTAGTAGTAGTGGCGGTAGTGTAGTGGTAGTCGCCGTAGTAGTAGCAATCGTAGTAATCATAAGAGTATCGGTTGTAGCAGTGGTCGTAGTAGTTGTAGTAGTGGTAGTAGTAATCGTAGTAGCAGTAGTAGTCGTAGTAGCAGCAGCAGTAGTAGCAGCAGTAGTAGTAGTAGTAGTAGTCGTTGCATCAGTGGTGGTGGTGGTAGTGATGTTGGTAACACGAGTCGTCGTTGAAGTAGTCGTAGCCGCAGATGTAATAGCAGTTGTCGTCGTCGCCGTTGTCGCCGTCGCCGTCGCCATCATCGCACCAGCAGCAATATCATTTCCGGAGGCAGCCTCAATATCATTACCAGCGGCAGTTTCGTTGGTGTTACCATCAGCAGCAAGATCTGTCTTCGGAGGCGTCGCCAGATGAGCAGCATATCCAGTAGCAGTTATCCCAGCGTATGCCGTCGCACCAAAAGTAGTCGCATCGTCCTCGTCGTCTTCGTCGTCTTCTTCGTCGTCGTCGTGTCGATGGTGTGTAGCAGGTCGACGGCAGGACGCCGCTTGCTGCGCCGCCACGCGTTGTTTCTTGCTTCGCGCCTGCCGCCTCGCATGCCCAATATCCTGGTGTCAGGCGTGGGGCCTGCCGCTCTCCCGCCCGATGGGTGCATGCCAGGTGGTCGGCATGAGCTGGGCGCTGAGATCCACTGCGAACTGGGTCCCGGGGGGAGGCTGGGAAGCAAATGGGGAAGCGAACAGTGACATAAACATAACAACTCGGAGGTCCGTGCGGATTTCACGGATCGGCCCTGGGGCCCCTTAGCGGCGCCTCCGGCGCCGCTTTTGGTTCGCTCCGCGAGCCAGGGAGGGGTTTCGAGCGCCTATCCGAGAAATCCGCGCGGACCTCAGAGTTGTTATGTTTGCGACATACAGCCGGACTGCGGCAAACGATCGGATATCGGATCGGGGAGGGGATATTCTCATGCTCTTCGGGCTTGTGGGATGCTCTTGCGCATCCTGGGGGAGTGTACCCTCGAGTGCTCTTCATTTTGGCCAGTGACTAGCCGCAATTGACAGAAACATACGTTAGGTTCGCGTCGTGTCCACAGGCGGCGGCCCCGCCGCCAGCGTTCAAGGTGGAACGCCGCTGGCGACCCAGAATCGGTCGAGGTTGAGCGGTCTGACGCTTCGGAACCAGCCGTCGAAGAAGAAGAAATGCTGTAAACAAACATTGTTGGCGCTCCGCGCGGATTTCTTGGATCCGCGCTGGGCCTGAGATGGAAGGCTTGCTGGAAGGTGGCATGACTGACCGTCTCGATCAGCACTGATGTCTGGCTGCCTGCGGCAAGTCTCGCCACCGTGCCAGCTCAGCACTGGGAGGCGACTGTTCAAGGAGCTCACAGAAGGCCGTCACATGTTGCACCTCATTTCCATCTGTTTTGGCGAGCCGTAACATGTGACAAGGATTGCGCGTCGTGCCGGGATGTCTCTGTTTGTGTTCGTCGTCTTCCTCCCTTCTCTTTTTCCCTCCTCTCTTGGGGCCTCTTGGGGGGGGGGCGTTCTTGGGGCCTCTAGGGGGCTGGCCCCTTAGGCCGTCTTGGGGCGCGCATGGGCACTGTGGCGCATTGAAAGTCCGTCTTATCGGCTTCTTTGGGCCGTCTTGGGGTCCTCTTGGGGCCCCGGAGGGTCCTCTTGGGGGAACATGTGGCGGTCTCCACGCCTCTCTGGGCCGCTGTGGGGTCGTCTTGGAGGCCTCCTGGGCAGTCTCGGGGCCATCTTGGAAGTCTGGACGGCCGTCTTGGGTTGGCAGAAGTCGGAAATACGAGAATGCAAAGTGATCGCGTTTTATTCATTGTTTTGCCGATCGGTGCGGGCCCCCCAACCCCCCCTCCCCCCCTCCATGGACTAGATCTTGGCTGTTTTTTTCGGCGCCTGTTTCGAGCGGGTGGAGTCTCCCCCAGAGGTTGCACTCTTGCAAACAGTCGCACTCAGCAGAGGTCTGGAGCCAGACCCCCCTCCCCCCCCCCTTGCCGCCCAATGTCGAAACGCCAACTCAAGACAACGCTCACAAAACACCGTGAAACAATTTATCATGTTGGTGGTCCCGGTTGCCTACCTCGGCCGTCGCGGAAGCCGCCTCGAGCATCTTTCTGTATGCTTCGCACAGCACCCGGGGAGGCGACAAAGCGCCCGGGGAACCCTCGGGAGGCGCGGCGATCGCTGCACCGTTCTGCTGCGAGAGGTCCCCCACCAAACAACACGTGGCATGATGCCACGCCTCAACGTGCGGTGCCCGGGGGCACGTGTGGCGCTCCGCGAGGATACCTGGATCGTCGCTGGACCTCCTCCTCCTCCTCCTCCGCCTCCTCCTCCTCCTCCTCCTCCTCCTCCTCCTCCTCCCGCCCCCGGCGCGCGCTCCGCGCCAGGGGCGCCGCCGCCGGGCAGTGCAGGTCCAGCGCCGACCCGGGAAGCCCACGCGGAGCCCAGAAAAGTTCTGGCGTGTGGCGCCAACGATTCGTCGCATCGTTTTGATTTGAAGCCTGAAAGTACACCCCAGGCGATGCTTAAGAAAACTTCAGTCTTCGGCCAGAGTCTCGATTATTCTTAATGTTTCAGTGTGAATCCTAAGATTTCGATAGGAATTCTGGGTTTTTATTCAAGTTCTGAGACTATGAATTTCTTAACCCATGATTTCTAAAGCATTTCGCAGGGTGTATCCGTTCCATCATGTTGATGTGCCGTCCACAGTTGCCTGTGACTGCTTTGAGCTTCGCCTGTGCTGCTTGTGCACCGTGGGGGTCGGCGGCAGACGAGGGAGCGTGGCAGGGGCCTGACCGGATGACGCCATGCTTTGAGTTCGATCGTGGAGATGAGCATGGCATGCACTGTCAACTTCACGCACGCTGTGGTTTTCGAAATTGCATCTACCGCGCACCCCACCAGACAGCCCATTGTACACCACGCGAATTCCCGATGCTAAACAAACCGTCCGGAGTACGCTTGAAGCGTACTCTTGATGTGTGAAGAAGCGTAGTCATGCGTGATGTTGTCCTCGTTTGAGAAGTGCAACGCTGCGCAAGCGAGGACAGGTGCGGACGGTCGTCAACAGCCCCTCGCCCATGCGTGGTGAGCGGCAGATGGTGCCCGTCCTGTTTTATGCTCGCCCCTCCTCCATCCCTTCGCTCTTCGGTATTTGAATGCTCCGCCTCCTCTTCTCTTTTCTTCGATGCGCTCCTGTCGTGTATTGTCCCCTACCCCAATCTCGCCTTATCCTAATTGTCTTATCTCCCGGCTTCCGCTCCCTCCTTCCTATCCTTCTCGCATCGATCATTCTTTGCATTTTCGCGTCTCCTGTTCAGGAGAAGGAACAAGAAGAGGATATTGGAGGAGGAAGGAGGGAGGGGGGGGATTCGATTGTGGAGGGACTTTCCTCATCCTTTCCCCTCTCCCTCCAGTTGATAAGTGCATCCTCCTTCCCTCACCCCTCCCTCCCACCTCCCACTCTTTCGATTCCCTGCTTCGCTCCCGTGGATCCCTTGATATTGCAAGCCACCTATAGGGCGTCCCTAGATTTCGTCGATTTCGGATGAGGAGGAGGCAGAAGGAGCACGGAACACGAGGGAGGAAGGAGGTTGTTGCCCCATTCAGATGGCATGTGTCTCGTTACGTTCGTGCTCCGTTCTCCTCCTCTCACCAGATCATCTCCCCTTTTTGACTCGCCCACCCACCCTTGGTGGTGCTCTTCCTCCCTGGGGTTGCTCAGATTATGAACGTGGTCAGCCTCCTGTGCGCCGCCAGGACGAGGGGGCGGGGGCCGGAGTCGGGAGCGAGGCGAAGCGGTGGAGGCCTCTTGTGGAGGGTATCTCTGGAGGGCTTAAGCGACCCATCCTCCTCCTCCTCTCTCCTCCTCCCCCTTCTCCTCCTCCTCCTCCTCCTCATCATCATCATCCTCGCACTTCCCTTCTCGGGTCGCCTACGGCCCTGGGGGAAACCGTCCAGCCGATCGGGAACGGCGAGGACCGTTTTCGAGAGACATGCGGGAAATCAATGATTTGCAATTTTTGAGGCGCTCCTTGGGGACCTCTTGGAGCCTTCTTGTGTTGCCTACTGGCCATGTTGGTTCATCTTGGGTCCAACTTGGGCCATCTTCATCTTGCAGGCAGCTCGCGCCTACTGGAAGGATACTTGGGCAATGTGGGCCGACTGGTTAATGACCTGGTCCCTCTCGGAAGCTTTTCTGTGGCCAATGTGGGCAGAACGAGTCACTGGACACCTGGTCAGTGGTTTGTGCAGGCTCGTGTACATAGGCTTTGTTTCTGTGCAGCTTCCTGGAAGCGCCCGTGTGATGAAGTGTGGAGCGGAGATACAGCCATGCTGGCGGACTGCGTCTTCCCCGAGCGCTTGCCGCACACACACGCGCAAACATAAACCGTCCGAGCTCCGCGCGAGCTTGTCGGATCGGCGCCGAGCCCCCCCTGGCGACGCCTCCTGCGCCGCCCCTGGCCCGTCCCGCGTGCCAGGGAGGGGGGCCCCGCGCCGATCCGGGAACGTCCACGCGCAGGTCCAAACGTAAGGTTCATGCTGTTGCTTCTCCCTCGAGCTCGGGGACACCACTGGGCGAACACTGGGGAGACCCTTCAGGATCATGCTCTGTTGTTTTTTCCTTGAGCTTGGGAAAACAACTGGGCGAACACCGGGGAGACCCTCCAGGGTCAACTTGGGGCTCTCCTGGGCCTCTCTTCGACCTTGGGGCTCCGTTGGGCCGTCTCGTGGGCCCTCTCGGACCGCTTGGCGCCTTCGGAGAGACCGGTTTGAGGGGCGTTGTCTGAAGCGTCTTGTGCACCTCACGGGGCCCTTGAGAGCCGCCGAGTGTCGAAAGCACGCTGCACTGTTTCACCGATGCTCGCTCATGCTAACTAACCGCATCCCCGGGATAATAGAGGATACCCCCCCTTGCCAAGGCTATCCCCAGCCAAGACAGTTTTGGTCAGCTGTGGGGAGCGGCGGGGCCGAACTTCATGATCGCGGGGGAAGTACCACACACACACGCAGGTTGCAGCCGTACACAGTACACCCGTGCATCCGAGTTGCCCGAACAAGATGTTCGTGAAGCTGATTCCCCCGGGGGGTGCATGTCGGGGGCACAGGGTGAATCCATGCCTCGGGCCCTCTGAGAGAGCCTGCGCGCCCAGTCGCGCGCGTCGCCCGCCACTTGGGCCGCGTCCAGACGACGATGGCGATGATCTTCTGCTTCCGCGTCCGCTCAGGAGCCGTCGAGGCACTCCCTCTCTGGGTGGTCCCGGGGCCCTCCCGGGCGGTCCTGTGGCCGTCATTTCGGGGCCCTCTCGGGCGCCTCTTGGGGGCGTCGGGGGCTGCTCTTCGGGGCCTCTTGGGCCGTCTTGGGCTTTTGGGACAGCGAGAACGCGATGGGAAAGCGAAAACGTTCAAACCATCGAACAGTCTCAGAACGTTTAGACCATCGAGCAGCCTCATTGATCTTCTGGGGGCTTCGAGGAGGTCATATTGGAGCCGTCTTGGGGCGTCTCGGAGGTCCTTTGGACCCCAGTGAGGCCATGCTGAGCCGTCTTGCGTTCATCTCGGGCCGTCTTGGAGGCATCTTGGGGCCATCTTGTCCGACCTAGAGGTCATTCTCGGAGTCTCGGAGGCAAGACTGGCCGTCCTGGAGGCTAGATGAGCCGTTTGGGAGAAGGATGTTCCAGATGTTTGTGTCTTTTGGGGCAGCGAGAGCCTGGAAGTCGGCGGCGAGCGGTGGGGTGGGGGAGTGAGAAGGGGCGGGCCGTCTCAGAGCGCTCGGAAGCCCCCCGGCCTTCTGAGAAGTTTTCTAAGCCTTCCTCGAAGACAGAAGGCGGGAGGGCTTCTGAGAAGTCCCGCCGCCTTCTGAGACGGCCTTCTCCTTCTCATTTCCCCCCCTCGCTCGCCGCCGAGGAAGGATCGTGGATAGCTGTGTAGTCTGGCAAACCAAGAACACTCCCGGCAGGCTGCGGGGGCGGCGGATTTCGAAGACGCCCGCCAGGATTCACCGCCGCCCCCTGCCTAGGATAATCACATGCGTGGGCAAATACCCGCAATTGCGGACACGAGTGAATCGAAGAAGAAGAAGAAGAAGAAGACATCGCCGAGGTCTAAGATCGAGGTCTCAGATCGCCGAGTGAGGAGCACCGTCGGACCGAGGTCTAAGATCGAGGGCGGCTCGGGGAGGGTGCCCCAGTCCGCAGAAGAAGGAGACACGCCAAGAACAGAATTGTTTGGGCGATTCGCGCGGACTTTTTGGGATCCGCGCTGCCGGGCGGGCGGGCAGCTAGTCGTGCAGTCACCACCCACCAAACCACCCCAACCCAACCCGAAGGCCTCAATTTGCCCTCCATTTCCAGTTGGGGGGGGTCGGGGAACATTGAAAAAACACATATGGAACCCGTACCCCCCCCCCCAACCCGAAACTTCGGGTTGGGTTGGGGTGGTCTGGTAGGTAGTCGTGCAGTGCCGTGCGCTCCCAACCCCTTCCACGCTCCTCGGGGTGGCGCAGCGGTGCCCTGGCACGACGCGCTGCGCCCCGCGCACTCGGCGCCGTCGGTTGCACCGAGATGGCCACGACAGGCGTGCCCCCGGGCAGAGCGCTGTCCTGGTGATTCGGGATTCTTGAGACGGGGGTCAATGCAAACGGGGGTCAGCCAGAGCGCCGGATCTTGCAGGATCCTGCAGGATCCTTCGCATTGACCCGGGTTTGGGTGCAGCATCTTGCAGGATCTCGCAGGATCCTGCAAGGCCTTACTGACCCGGGTCTGGATTGACCCGGGTCAGGAGATCCCCGAGTGATCGTGCTCCCCCCCCCCCGCCCTCCTATGGAGTGAGCAGATCCTGGCTGTTTTTTGCCGCCTGTTTCGAGCGGGCGGAGTCCTCCCCAGAAGGCAGCGCTCTTGCAAGCGGTCGCACTACGCAGTGGTCTGGAGCCAGACCCCCTCCTTCCCCCCCCCCCCCCCGTTCCTCCCAATGCCGAAACGCCGAATGAAAAACCGCTCACTACCTCGCGTTTCCTGCCAGCGCGCCCCCCAGCGTGCCCCCCGCGGGCCCCCCCCCCCCACCAGCGTGTTCCCTGGGCGTTCCGCCCTAGCGGGCCCCCCCAGCGTGCCCTCCCAGAGAGCCCCCCAGCGTGCCCCCCCCGAGCGTGCCCCCTCCCGCCCCCTCCCCGCGCCTGCCCTCCCCCCCCTAGCGTGCCCCGCGGCGTCGCCCCCGCCCAAACTCCAGCCACGCGCGCGCAGGGATCATGCAAGCCAAAGCCCAACAAAACAGTCACGGCCCGAAAGAGAGGAGCGCGCGCGAGAGCGCCCAGGAACATTGGAAATCTGGCACGCGGCCTCATCGTTTCGAAAGCATGCCCACTCCTCGCAACAGTGAGCTCGACGGGGCATGAGGTCCTTCCAACTCGCACCCAAGGGCACCGTGGCCGACACGAGGGATATTGAGAAAGGGCGAGGAGAGAGAGAGAGAGAGAGAGAGCGAACCAGAGCAAAGGCCAGAACAACATAAATAACCTTATATGTAGATGTAGAAAGAGAGAGAGAGAGAGAGAGAGAGAGAGAGAGATGGACCCGACAAACCAGATACCTATGCATACGTATATAGTTATATATATATGTACACACATATATATATATATATACGCATCCATGCACATGCGAAGACACGTAGGAAGAGAGAGAGAGAGAGAACAACGAGAGATAGTGATAATTCCCATTCACGAGACAGAACGAGAGAACAATGGAGAGTACGGGAGAGAGAGAGAGAGAGCGAGCGAACGAGCGAGCGAATGAGATATCGAGAGAGAGAGAGAGTGCGCGAAGGGCCATAGCAGATAGGGGGTGACATATGCATTCTACCGGAGAGGAGAGCGGGAGACAGAGAGAGACACTACATACTATAGATGTAGCACCCCCCAGTTGTGGATAGGAGTGAGGAGCGCGGGCGGACGCAGGGCCTTGCTCTTCCTCCTCCTCATCCTCCTCACTGTGTCCTCCCTCTCCTCCTCCGTCTCTGCATCCTCCCCCGTCCTCCCTTCCCCCCTGCTTCCCCACTTCCCCTGCACGTGTTCCACGTCTCGTCCTCGTCCTCCGCCATCGGTCTCCCCGCCCTCGTCCTCCTCGTCCTGGTCCCGCCCCTGCTTCCCATGGTCCCCCTCGCCCGTCCTGCTCGTCCTCGTCCTCCGCTCTCGCCTTTCTCTACGGCGACGCCCACCACCACGTCACCCTATCCCTCCCTCTCTCCCTCTCTCTCTCTCTCTCGCTCTCCCTCTCTTTCTCTCTCTCACTCTCTCTTTATTTCTCTCTTCCTCTCTCTCTCTCTCTCTCTTTCGTTTTTTGTTTCTCTCTCTCTCTCTCTCTTCCTTTTTTTTTTTTCTCTCTCTCTCTCTCTCTCTCTCTCTCTCTCTCTTTATATATATATATATATATATATACCGCGACCCACCCCACGACCCACTCCGCGACCTACCCGCGACCCACCCGCGAAGCACTCGCAACCTGGCAAACCGGCCCGCCAGGAGAACGGATGCGCGCGGCGCATGGCCCAGGGCGTTCCACTCCTCCTCATGCTATCTCGCGTTCCTCCTGCGGGCAACGTCTATGTCCACATCCAGTGCGTCTTGGAGATTCGGGCTCTCTTCCCCAAGAACATGATGCGCACTAGACATTAATTAAAAGCCGGCCCCAAAAGGCTAGATTTTTCCATATCTGCGCCTCGGCCTTGCGGCGCCCTTTCCGAGAAAGTCCAAAGACGCATTGGATATGGATATAAGTCTTGCCCGCATTTCCGGCTCCCGCTCCCTTCCTGTCTCTCCTATCGTCCCCGTCCTGCCTCTCCTCATTGCCTCATCTCATGGTCTGCCTTCTTCTCCCTCCCTCCCTCGCCCCACCCTGCTTTCTCCTGAGATCCTGGTGTTGTATTTTTTTGTTTGCAGCGGGATGTTTTGCTCCCTTTCGGGCCCCGGGACCCTCACTGATCGATCCGGTTTGAACAAGGACACATAACGACGGGGTCCGGGGCTCTGTTCGTGATTTTTGCTTTGTCGGATCTCAGGGCTCAAGTCTCAGGGTCCTCCCCCTTCCTCCCTCCCCTCAGATTCAGGCTCCGACATTCGCCAGCGTTCGAGCGCACGTGCTGCCTCACGCTCCGCATTCCAGAAGCACCCATATAGTTTATGATGACCACAGCGCGAGCCGTCTTGCGTAGTTCTCTCCATCTGCGCGGGATCGAAGCAGGAAAATCCAGCATGATCCTCCTCCCCTCCCCTCCACCCTCGCCGCTCCACTCCCTCTCTCCTTTCCCCCCCCCCTCCAACACCCCCTCCCTCTCGCTCGTCGCTCCTTCTCTTGTTCCTCTTCCCCACGCCCTCCAAAAAACCCACCTCCCTCTCTCAGAAGTTGGGCGAAGGCTGGCAAGCCCGTGGCTGCTAAGACGGAGCTCCGGATTATTGTGCTTTTCTTCCGGGGAGCAGCCTGTTTACTACCCAGCGCGCTGAATCTTCTTCCGGGAATTCGCTTCCTTTTTTCCTGGAGTGCCGTTTTAGCGGCGACGGATTTGCCAGCCCTCGCCCAGCCTCCGACTCCCGCTCCTCGCTCCTCCTCCTCCTCCTCCTCGCTCCCCCGGCTCCCCCTTCGCTCCTCGCGCCTCCTCCTCCTCCTCCTCCTCCTCCTCCTCCTCCTCCTCCTCCTCCTCCTCGCTCCCCCTCGCTCCTCGCTCCCCCTTCGCTCCTCGCGCCTCCTCGCCCCTCGCTCCCTCCAGCAGGGGCGTCTCCTACTCCTATAGCCTGGAGATCTCGCACCTGCCCGACGGCGACGTCCTCAGGCCTCCCTCCGCCCGCCGCCCGGCTCCCTACCCGCCCCCTCCGCCCTCCCGCGCACCGCCGGGCCGAGGTCTGAGGTCGAGATCGCCTCGGGGAGGGTGCCCTCCAAGTCTCAGGAGGGAAAGAAACACACAGACACAATTAATCGTCGACTCTCCAGAAAATATGCGAAAATATGGGAATTGGGCGGGAAGACAGGAATCCAGAAAATATGGGGAAATATGGGGAATCATTTTATTGGTGTATATTTATTTGTGTGTCTTAGGGCCCCTTCAAAGTCGGGCGTATCCCTCGTCAGGAGGAACATTCGAACATGGTCAACAAACTAGTCCGGGGACGATGTTCCGATGGGCCTGTTGATATCCATTGAGTCGGAGCTGAGGACGGAGAGCGCCAGAGACCTAAAGACATTCCAATCCGTACCTCGCGGCAGGGGCTCGCCGCAAAACGCGGCCCTTAAGAGGCCTCCGAGAGCCCCCCAAAACGGGCCCCAGAGGGCTCCAGTGCAGCCCAACGGGCCTTTGAGAGGGCCGAAGAGGCTCCCAGGACGGCTCCAAGAGCGGATCCAGACGGGGAGCCCGAATAGACATTTCGAGCTCTAAGCGCAGAGAGGTCCCCTGGAGGCCCCAAGAGGCCCCCAAGAAACCCTGGGTGCCCTTGGAACATTCGAACATGGTCAACAAAATAGTCCGGGGACGATGTTCCGATTATCTTTCATTCATTTTTGAATATTGCTTGACCATGGTTTATTGTTCGTCCCAAATCCTCCTGTAGGGGGACACGCCCGACCTAAGGGTACCCTAGCTCAAACGAGGAAACAACAACAGTATGAATATAAAATGTTGGCGCTCCGCGCGGATTTCTTTTCTCCGCGCTGGGGCTCCCCTGGCGGCGCCTCCGGCGCCGCTCCTGGCGCGCTCCGCGCGGCAGGGAGTGGGTCCAGTGTAGATCCAAGAAATCCGCGCGGAACGCTCAAAAAAATGTTCATGGCATTTTCTTCTTCATATACTTATCTTCTTCGTGTTTGTTGGATGCTCTTGTGCATCCTTGGGGAGGGTACCCTTGGCTGCTGAAGGATGTTATTATGCCTTAGGTCTTAGGTGACGAAGACCAGTCTAAGAATCTTTTCCGCCGTCGGGGGCGCCTGCCCCAAGGACGGCTGTATAGTTTATACCCCCATGGTGCCACGTAGGGGTATTTTTTTTCCAGCAGCTAGGGGGACAGGCGTCCTCGACGGCGGTCAAGTTATTTTTACACCGTTCTTCGCCAGTTCAGGACTTCGGACAGGGCTGGGACGAGGATCAACCCGTTCAGGGAATATTGAAAGTACGGGTGATCTTTGATGGATGTCTATTTATTTTGGTGTCCCTGGGTCCTTTCATATTGGCCAGGTGCTGCCAGAGGTGCCCCCTGGGCATAAGGTGCCCCCCAGGAGTTCCAAGGATGCCCCCGCGCAGAGGAGGAGGAGGAGGAGGAGGAGGAGGAGGAGGAGGAGGAGGAGGAGGAGGAGGTACCCATACCGCTGCCCTCCGCCCGCGTTCCCCTTCTGTGGGCCTCCAGGGAGACCCTCGTCGCCTCTGCCGGATTCGCCTCGCAGTCCTGGTCAGGGCGCGCCCCGGGAGAGGTCCAGGGAGCAGCGGTATCGGGGCCTTTTGGCTTCCCCAACAAGGCCCCCAGAATGTCTGGGGAGGCCCCCACGGCCTCCAGGGAGAACCCCTCACGATCGGACGGGGCTAGGACGAGAATTCATCCATTCCAGAGCGTTCCGCGGAACGCTCTCAGAGCGCTCCAGAACGCTCTGGGAAGGCCGCGACGCCCAATACGTCCTCCAAAGCCACTGGATCTCAGAGGTGTTTGATGTATCCTCACCCGATGTTGTCCTCGGGGGTGCGTCATCTCAATACTCCTCCTCCTGCTCCTCTTCCTCCTCCTCGAAGCCTGGCAGAAGGACAAATATTTCCTCTTCCAGACTCGGGCATGGGTCCAGCATGCGTGCAGATCTTCCTGGTGATGTGCGATGTCATATCCGACGCGGGCAGCAATGAGCTGTGGGACATCCAGAAGGCGAAGGTGGAGAAGCTCACGTCGGTCTCGGATCCGAGTCTGCTGATCGGCGGATTTCGGGCGAGTTCTTGCTACGAGGAGGGTAGCGCGAAGATGGCGTTCGCTTTCCCGGTCGTGGAGCTCACGACGAACGTCTTCTCGGACTGCGTGCTCCAGTTGGGAGGGGTGGCGAAAGAGGGAGTTGCCCCGAGGTCGAACGTGCAGCGGATCCTGCAGCTGGCGATCGACGATTTCGAAGACCAGCTGCTTTAGTCGGTACTAGGCGCTGGAGGTTCCGTACTGAACACTGCCGCTATTTCGAGAGAGGGTATGTTCCACGGCCGTGGTCGAGGTTTGAGGTGCGCCCTTGCCGCCGTGCCGCTGCCTTCTTTGACCCTCTCCGTCTTCCACCTCCTCTTCCTTCTCCTGGGCCGCCTTGCCAGTATAGTGTTAAGGAGCTTGTTAAAATTGCCACTGGTGGCCCTTCGAGACAGTGGTTTCTTCGGGCCTTCGACCTCCTGAGGGCCCCGACGGGGCTCCTGGCGGTCCGCTGGCGCCTTTCCCTCGCTGCGTGCTGCCTTGGTCGAGCGATAACGAATCGGGGCTCCCGCCGTGGGGGCCACCTCTCGCAGTATATCATACAGCGCGCGGTAGGTCGCACAATACGAAATTCGTTTCCGATTGTTGTCCCAGTCGGAGCTCTGTTCCACTCGGCCCGTTACCGCTTCGCCTCCGCCTCGCTTCCTCCTCCTCCTCCTCCTCCTCCTCCTCCTCCTCCTCCATTCTTTTCCTTCATAGATAATTCATCCCGGTCGCACACCGAGGCCAGTCGACAGGGCGGGCCGGGAGTTTCGCCTCAGACTCACTTTGCATGACCTGGATGCTTAAACATTGTCAACATTTGCACAGATGGAGGGCGGGTGATGCTCAAGCTGTGGCTGTCGCCTTCGCGCCGCGCACTCTGTCTAAACAACTTCAAGAGCTTTGCGAATTGAGGGCGGCTGGTTTTCAAAATGTTGTTTTCACCGTAGCGCCGCCACATTCGTTTTACACGTTTGCAAGAGATTCACGGATTGAGGGCGGGATGTTTTCAAAATGCGGTTCTCGGCGGAGTGTCGCGCACATTCGCTCTAAAAAGTTGCATCGGGAATTTCACGGATTGAGGGCTGTCAGTTTTCAACACGTGGTTCTCGCCTTAGCGCCGCGCACACTCGTTTCAAATGTTTGCAAGAGTTTCATGGATTGACGGCGGGTAGTTTTCAAAATGTGGTTCTCGTTTAGGGCCACACTCATTCGTTTACAGAAATGGCAAGGGCTTCTGTATTGAGGGCGGCACGTTTTCAACATGTGGCTCTCGTCTCAGCGCCGCGTGCACGTTCCCCGGAAAGGGCAGAGGCCCAGGGTTCTCCTTCGGTCCGTGTTCCCCCGGGGACGATTTGAAGAGGGTTGGGGCGACTTGAAGATGGCCGGTCGATAAACAACGTAAAGCCCGATTCGGCGTGGATAAAATGATTTCGCGCGCGCCCGCTCGAGGGTCATGTGCCCCTTTATCGGATCCTCGATGAATAATGGCGTCCGCAGACGTTCGTTTCCCATGTAAAAAGGGTGCGGAGCGTTGTGGACCGAATCCGTGATAAAGCACAAGGTCTGGAGGCTTTGAAAGTTTAAACCTTTTGCGTGCCCGCTCGAGAATGGCGCGCCCTGCGCGCCGAATGTCTCAAGACGACTAGCGCGAAACGCTTGTTTTGCAAAACTTGAACGGCATGGGCGCCCCAGGATGCCCAGGTAGGCAGTTCTGGCAGCGCGGACACGGCGTAACTTACCAGGGAGTGTGGCCCTGGGAGCGCGAACGCAGCGTAATTCACTAGGGAGCGCGGCCCTGGGAGTGCGGACGCACCGCAGTTTACAAAGGATTGTGGCTCAGGGGGATCGGACGCAGCGTAAGTTGCAAAGACCTTGGCCCTGGGAGCGCGGACGCAGCGCAATTTACTATGGATCGTGGCCCTGGGATCTCGGACGCAGGATCATTTACGGAGGATCATGGCGCTGGGAGGGGCGGGCGCCGCGTAGCGAACGTGGCCCTAGGAACGCGGACGCAGCGTGATTCACGAGGGAGCTCGGCCCTGGGAGCGCGGACGCATTGTAGTTTACGAGGGACCGTGCCAAGGGAGAGCGGACACAGCGTGATTTACAAGGGATCTTGGTCCTGGGGGCGCGGACGCAGCGCAATGTACGATGGATCGTGTCCCTGGGAGCGCAGACGCATGGTAATGTATCATGGATCCTGGCCCTGGGTCAGGGACTTCCCGCGGCACGTTCCCTGACGCGTTCCTTGGCGCGTCCCCTGGCGCGTCGCTTGGCACCTTCCCTGGCACGTTCCGTGGCGCATCCCGTGGCGAGTCCCCTTGGCACGTCTCGCGGCGCATCCTTCGGTACATTCCCTGGCACGTCCTTTGGCGCGCCCCTTGGGACGTTCCGCGGCGCGTCTCCCTCGCATGTCCCCTTGGCATCGCCCAAGTGCAGATGCAATTGAGGTCCACTGGAAAGATTCCATGCCTCGCAGTTCTCAATCCCTTCGCCGGGGTTGCGGGCCGATCATGATTGTGAAATGTTATTCACAGATTGTAGGCGGTTGGTTTTCAAAGTGTGGCTCTCGCCTGAGCGCCGCGCATTTTCGTTTAAGAATTTGCAAGGGCTTCGCGGATTGACGGCGGCTTCTTTCCAAATTGTGGTTCTCGCTTTAGCGCCGCGCACATTCATTTTGACCATTTGCAAGAGTGTCATTGTTTTTCATGGTTACCGTACTAGAAATGGTGAGTTGGAGCGATTCCGAATTGCCAGGGCGCAGCAGTTGCGTGAATTCGTGGTGTTGAAGACCAAGGTGTGGCGCATTCTGGTACGATTCAGGTACGATTCAGGACGTAACAGCCAGGTTAACTCGTTGCGTTGAAGAACTTAG